TAAATTCAGTTTCAATTTAATGAAATTTATTTTCAATCCACTGCATTCAATTTCAAATTATGCACATTCAGATTCAATCTGAGCAATTCACATTCAATTCCTGCTGGCACAAGATTTATCTCATAAACTACAGCCCTGTTTACACAAAACCGGTCTCTGGAAATGTTAGTGTAGTGTACTGTCACTTTAAAATTGTTGTATTTTGACCCAAACGGTAAAAGCAGCTCTGTGTAAACAGCTCCTAAAATATTCAGCAGCAGAGATGCACACCTGGTGATGTCTTCAGTAAGCTGTGCTGGATCAGGTGGGTAGAACTTCACGYTGAATGTAAACTCATAAACAGCACCAGGAACCTGTTTACGGATCTCTTTGATTGGGTCCAACCATGTCTGTGGAAAATGTGTAAACACACACAAAACACACATCTTTTACTTGTAATTTTGTTTTAATTAAAGTTATAGGTCACACGCGTAGAGCCTACCTTGCTGGTTGGRGTTTCCCAGTGAGCAAGGCCGAAGTAATCTTTCTCCAGCAGGTTGACATGACTGCACACTTTCGAAAAAAGCTCTTGGCCTTTAGCGTGTTTCTAAACAGGAAACAGAAAATCTTTAGGGTTTTTTCTGTGTGGCACAGAGAACCAACTWTGTTTTGGTGAGTCTCTTACATCAAGCTCACACTCAAACAGAGCGTCGTCCAGTAAGGTGACTTTACACTGCATGGTCCTCTGACGTTTGGCGCCTTTCGACTCCTCCGCCTTCTTCTCAGTCTTCTTCTCTTTCACGGGTTTCTCCTTTTTCGCCTGCTCCGTGACTTTTTCCTCTCCTGTGGTCGCCTCCTCCGGTTCTGTAGGTTTTTCCTCTTTTTCTTCTGTGTCCTCCTTTTTCTCTTCCTCCACTACTTCGGGCTCCTCCTTTATCTCCGATACTTCTTTCGGCTCCTCCGGAGCTGGCTGTTTGGGTCGACACAAGACATTTGTGTCAAATACTGATGTTGCACACAGTGATGATAGTGTGGATTAATACAACAGATCTTAGTAAAACGCAATTATCCAGATGTTTATAACAGCTTATGGTGATACCAGCATGGGTGAGTTTTGTTGCTAACTCAGCTTTAATGTAAAATTTGTACTATGTTTTCCTGAGCAGGCCATCAGACAATAAAACACAATTATTGGACACATGAAAATCTCACTTACTTAAACTTCTGACTTATGATGTATAAAAAGGGAATCAAGGCATCAGGTTCATTTAAAAAAATCTTCTGCAATCAAACTTAAGACTCATAATTAAACTATAGCCCTAAAAATGTTGATGCTTAAAGACTGATTTGCCAACCTGGTGTTATGCTTTTCAAACACAAAGGTGACAGCAATCCATTGGTCTTATCCTTAAAAAGAATAACGGGACATATTTCTCAAATATCTTAACTAGAATTCAAAATTTCACAAGAAAAATGTGGGTTTTATCAGTTGCACGTCCATTTTATTGGATATCATTTGTGGATAAAATGGCAGCACGACGGMTCAGCGGTTAGCACTGATGCCTCACAGCAAGAAGGTCTTTAGGATGTTTCTGTAACGAGTTTCTCTTACTGGTTTCGATATTCAACTAAATGTGTTACAGTTCACTTTGTACGTGAAAAGTTTGTCAATTCCATGTTTAAGAAAGTTATAAAAGTCGCATCGCACACAAAAACATGTCATCACATGGCACTAATTGCAAAGTGACAAATATCAATTGTGGACTTTTTTTCTGATTATCAGTTGGACACAATACAATTTTGCCCAACCCCATTATAGAATAGAATGAAATAGAATGCCTTTACTGTCATTACACGCACGTATAACGAGATTAGAGCCACTCCCACAGCAGTGCAAACATACAGCAAAGAATAAAATGTGCTAAGTATGCTCATATACATCAGCATGTATACATACATGCTAGGGGTGCAACAATAAATGTACCCGTATCGAACCGTTCAATACAGTGCTTTAGGTTCAATATACACTTGTATCGAACAATACAGATTTTTTTAATTTAATTTATCAACATGTCTTCTGAAGATGCTCTGTGTTGAAGGATCAGAGGATCTGTGTTCGACTACTCCACCTAGGCTGCATTTTCGAGCACAGATCCACTGAGAAACTTGCTGTTTCAGCAAAATTTAAGCTTAAATTTAATTTAGAAAGAGTACTTTTGAGGCTAAACAAATGTTCATAAATAATTTCAATAAATTACAATTTAAAAAGGGCATGGTAATTTCTGTTATTTGTATCGAAAAAATATCGAACCCTGAGACTAAAGTATTGAACCGAATCGTGAATTTTCTGTATCGTTGCACCCCTAATACATGCATTTATATGCATATACCCGCACATATATAACAATAAAAAAGCACAATCAGAGTCAATTGTAAATGTTAAACTAAAGTAAAGAAWRTAAAATGTCATTATTGCACATTGTTTAAATTTTGCACATTATGGATATTGGAGGTATATGKATTAWGCTGGTATTGCAGGTGATCATTAACAAAATAAAGTGRCGTGYCCCCCAGTGTGTATGTACTCCACAGTAAGTTTCTAGCTGATTGTAAATCAAGAGTCAGTTATCGTACTCTGTATCGACGAGTACCCAAACTGAAGTTCCTGTACTCCTACGTTGAGAAAGACTGGTATCAGGACACTCCTACTCATGATATTTAAACAGATCAGAATTATTATAATTATGAAGCGGTGCTGTTTTAAGAAGATGTTTGTGGAGTTGAGGTATAATGATGTTTCAGTCTCACCTGCATCTCTGCGCTGCTAACTGAGTGCTGATCCAGAGCCTGTTCAGCCTCAGGCTCAGTTTTTAGCTCCGGCTCCGGAGCAGCGATCGGTGCCTTCATCTGATCCTCCAGCTTTTTCACCTGTCGTTCCTCTTTCTTTCCTTTGCTCTTCCCTTTCTCTTTTCTCTTTCCTTTTTCCTCCTCCTTCTGTTGCTTTTCTTCAGTCTKCTCTTCTTCTTTTTCTTTCTTCCTTGCCTCTTCTTTCACCTTTTCCGCTTCTTTCTTAGGCTCCTCGTTTGCTTTTTCCTCTTCTTTCTTTTTTCCCTTTTCCTCTTTTGTTTTCTCCTGCTCTTTCTTTTTGTGGACTTCCTCCTTGGGTTTCTCCTCCTCTTTTTTAGTCTTTTCTTTAGCTTTTTCCTCCTCTTTCTTTTTAGACTTTTCTTCTTTARCTTTTTCCTCCTCTTTCTTTTTAGCTTTTTCTTCTTTAGCTTTTTCCTCCTCTTTCTTTTTAGCCTTTTCCTCCTTTGCTTTCTCCTCTTCTTTCTTTTTAGCTTTTTCTTCCTCTTTCTTCTTTGCTTTTTCTGCTTCTCTTGCTTTTTCCTCTTCTCGCTTCTTAAGTTTCTCCTCTTCTCGTTTTCTTATCCTTTCCTCTTCCTCTGCTTTCCTTTTTGCCTTCTCCTCTTCCTTCTTCTTTACCTTTTCCTCCTTCTCCTTTTTCTTTGCCTCCTTCTTGTCAACCTTTCCCTCTTCTTTTTTTCCACCCTCTGTTCCTTTCTCCTTCACCTCGACAGTTTCCTCTTTTTCTTCTTCTTTTGTTTCTGGTTTTGCTGCCTCCTTCTCAGCTTCTACATCCTCCTTCGCCTTCTCCTCCTCTTTTTGCTCCTCTTTCTTTACTGATATCTCTTCGTCCTTTTTTGTCTCGTTCTTTTTCACTTTCCCCTCATCCTTTTCCTCCACTTTCTTCTTTGAATCTTTCTTTTTCTTTTTGCTACCTTTCTTCTCAACTTTTTCTTCCACTTTCTTCTTCTTCTCCTCTTTTTGTTCTATTTTCTCTTCTTCTTTCTTTGTAGCTTCTTTGGATACTGGTTTTTCCTCCACACCTTTCGACTCTTCTTTTTTCACCTCTTCCAACTTCTCTTCTTCTTCTTGTTTCTCCTCTTTCTCCTCTCTGGCCTTCTCAGCCTCGAACCCCTCGCCCTCTGAGCACTGCGAGCGCCGCTTGAGGAATGAGGAGAAGAGGCGCGACAGGCCTTTGCCCGCTGAGGTTCTAGTTCGAGGCTTCAGCTGCTCCTCCTCAGGGGAGGTAGCTCCGTCAGCGGGCCCGGGCCCGGCAGGCTGCTCCTGGGATTTCCTCCTCGACTGCTCCCCCTCCTGCTCAGACGCTGTTGCCTCCTGCTTCTGTTTCTCCCCTGATTCGGGTTCTGAGTCAGGCGCAGCGCCGCTGGCCGCAGCCTTCTTGCCCTCTGTGTCTGCCTCGCTCACAGTGCTTGCCTCTGTTGTCATGGTGGCCACTGGGAAGGAAAACAGAAAGGAGTCAGAGATGGAGAAAGGTCACAGAGATCTCTGCAAGGAAACTTGCAACAAACAAGAAACGAGAGTCGACTAAAACACGGATTTATTTAAAAACTTACACTTCAGTTACTGTGTGCGTTCAAGACTGTTGTATGAGTTAAATCACTCTAACAGGTTGAATTAATGTAACAAAACTGCACAGAATCCAGTTCTCAAAGCTGATCCTTATGTTGGCTAATTATAAATTTCTCTCTAAAATCTAATAATTTATTTTGATTACTGTGTGGCTGAATTAATACTTTAAACAATTTCATTACAGAGCAATGACAATTATATTAATAATCTCCAAAAGGCTCCAGGATTTTTCTTTTTGTTGCAGGAAATTTAAAAATAAATACTTCACTTTATTAAACTGGGGCTGTTCTGAGCTTATGTTAGATCTGCTCTATCATCCACTCATTTTTCTGCAATTTATCAAGTGTACAGCTTGATAAATGAGTATTAGGGCCACATAACGAGATTTTTTTAATTATTATTTTGAGATTAAAGTTGTAATTTTACGAGATTAAAGTCATAATATTACGAGAAAATAAGTCATAATCTCACATGTCCATTTTCTGTTCCTCATTTCCTCCTTATTTTCCCCACACGCTCTGTGTACATCCATGTGTCTGTGTTTATAAAGTAGTTTGAAATAACTTGGGTCACTGTTAGATTCATATGTTTTCATCCAAATTAGCTACGTGACGACTAAATCTGTCAATGCATCCATTAATTACAATACGGCTTCAGTTTATAGTCGTTTGCTTAATATCCAAGTCCTGCTACTGATGTGCTAAAAGATTAACTATTTATTTTTAAGCAATACTAAAGAACAAATTGACAAGTTGCTCAACATTCCTCATTTTAAATATGCACTGGTAACTGCATGATTTCCATGTAAAGGCTACAAAATTGTGACTTTTTTTCGCATAATATTATGACTTTAATCTCGTAATATTATGACT